AGACGGACTCCAAGAAGACGGACTGCAAGAAGACGGACTGCAAGAAGACGGACTGCAAGAAGACGGACTCCAAGAAGACGGACTCCAAGAAGACGGACTGCAAGAAGACGGACTCCAAGAAGACGGACTCCAAGAAGACGGACTCCAAGAAGACGGACTCCAAGAAGACGGACTGCAAGAAGACGGACTCCAAGAAGACGGACTCCAAGAAGACGGACTGCAAGAACACCGACTGCAAGAAGACGGACTCCAAGAAGACGGACTCCAAGAAGACGGACTCCAAGAAGACGGACTCCAAGAGGACGGACTGCAAAGCGCGACTATAAGTTGAGACATAACATTCTAATAAAGGTCTCCTGATGGATGCTCAATAATCCAGGTAGAAAAAAAAAATCCAAAAAAAGTTAAGTCAGGTCCTCTGGATGGGTTCAAAAAACAAACAAAAAAAAATTGTAGAAACGTTTCGTCTTTCATCCAAAAGACTTCTTCAGTCTGAGGAGCTGTGTTCAGGTGAAGATCAGACACCACTCTGAGCAGCAGGACCACGCTTTCCACAGAACAACTGTGTCAACTCTTGAAACTGTGCCTGCAGTCAACCTACTTCACATATGGGGAGCAATATTATAGGCAGAAACATGGGTGTGCTATGGGGTCTCCAGTTTCTCCTATTGTTGCCAACCTGTACATGGAGGAGGTAGAAAAGAGAGCCTTGACGTCCTTTTCAGGGACACCACCAAGTCATTGGTTCAGGTATGTTGACGACACCTGGGTTAAAATCAAATCTCAGGAAGTCCAACATTTTACTGACCACATCAACTCTGTGGATAAATACATCAAGTTCACACGAGAAGATGTAAAAAATGGCAGGTTGGCTTTCTTGGACTGTGAGGTCTCAGTCTCTGATAGAGGACATTTGCAAACCGAGGTGTACCGCAAACCCACCCACACAGACCAGTATTTGCAGTTTGACTCCCATCACCCTTTGGAGCACAAGTTAGGAGTCATCAGGACTCTGTACCACAGAGCAGACAGCGTCCCCACTAGCTCAGGAGCCAGGCAGAAGGAGAAATCCCACACAAGACAGGCTCTAGAGCAATGTGGATATCCTAACTGGGCCTTCCTGAAAGCAGAGAAGAAACCCAAACAGGACTCCAGTCAGCCAACAGGTGAAAAGGAGGAACCCAGACCCAGACCAGTGGTCATTCCATATGTTGAGGGAGTATCAGAGAAACTGTTTATTTTCTAAACATAACGTTCCAGTGGCTTTTAAACCCCAAAATACATCAAAGACTGGTTCATCCCAAAGATCCAGTCCCCCGGCACAAACAGAGCAATGTTGTGTATGCTGTTCAGTGTCAGGAGGGTGATCAGTCTTACATCGGGGAAACTAAACAGCCACTGGCCAAAAGGATGGACCAGCACAGAAGATCAACATCATCAGGCCAGGACTCTGCGGTCTACACTCATCTCCAGGCCAGCGGTCACTCTTTCAGGGATGAAGATGTTCACATCCTGGACAGAGAGGAACGATGGTTTGAGAGAGGAGTAAAGGAGGCCATCTTTGTGAAAAGAAACCGTCCATCATTAAACAGGGGTGGAGGCCTCCGGGTTCAACTGTCCCCCTCTTACAATGCTGTGATTGCTAGTATCACTCAGCCCTCTGTGAACAGTAAACAGCCATCAGGTGCTAATGATCCATTGTTAGACTGATGGTCCTTCTTGAGCATGTGATCAGCTGGTTTTGGTTGTCAGCAGCAAACTGGTTGATCCACTCTGAGAAGGTGCTATTTAAGAGACTGAGCTGAAAACAGCTCCTCAGACTGAGGAAGTCTCTCGGATGAGAGACGAAACGTTTCTACATTTTTTGTTGAACCCGTCTAGAGGACCTGACAACGATTTTGGAACCTGACAAAGGCCAACGCTGAAGGCAGTGTGGAGCTGTAGTCCGATAACATCATTTTACTTTCAGTTTCATGCATGTAACATTTCACACGTGTGGACTTAGGCCTTCTATGAAGGTGTAGAAGGCCTTGAGGGTCTGCAACTAATGTGATGAACACAAGAACCCTCACAAAGGCCTTTCGCGGTTTGTCAACATCCCAGTAAAACACAACAACTTGATTTGCAGTAAAAACCTGCGTTGTCAACATTGTAGACCAACACGATCAAATGAAACCGGCTCGTATCTTCCCTTCTCTACCTTTTCGTCCTTGTCCAGCTCGTCCGTGAAGAACCAGGTGCACTGTGTGAACGACAGAGGAACGATCAGCAAAGCTAAACAAACACCTGAACTGCAAGCGTGCTTCATTTGTCTCACGTGTTGGACGAGCGTCTCCACTATCTTGTAGCGGTCGGGCATGTGCGTCACCATGTCCTTCATGTTGTCCTCCGATGTCCGAACGAGGGTCGGCCCGAACACGAGGGCCAGATTACGAGGCTCCATCTGAGGAGAAAACAAACGAGTTGACGATGACGCCCGGTCCGATTTTACGCCCGACAACGGGTTTTTAACCAACCTTGTTTTTGTCGGAGTTGTCCGCAACGGTCTTCAGGTGACAGACGAGGAACTTCAGGGTGTGAAAATAATGATCTGGAAGGTCTCGGATCTAAAACCCAAAATGAAGAATCTTGTTCAAGCTTTCAGACCCAGACGATAACCGGACGACTCGCTCTTTGGTTTTCCTGTTTATAGTTTATTTCACAGGTTTCTGCAACCTCCTTCATATTTGTAGTTTTATCGTGATCATTTCAACATCAAAGCAATCGTCTGGATAGACAATTGATTGAACTTATCTATAGTTTAGCTAATTTTGGCTTTTAGTTACAAATGTGAGTTTTAGTCTGTAACAGTCTTGACAATTTTAGCCTTTAGCTACAGTTTTACTAGTTTTTACCCTTTTAGCTTTAATTTTTTTGTTTTAGCTACAGTTTAACAAAATCTAGCTTTTTTTTTTTTGACAATTTAAGCTTTTATAAATGTTTTTCCAAATGTTTGCTTTAAACTGCTGTTTTGCTAGTTTCAGCTTTCAGCTACTGTTTTGCTAATTTTAGCTACACTTTTCTTTGATCAAGTTTAGCTGTTCGCTATGGTTTTACAAACTTTAGCTTTTGGCTAGTTTAGCTAGTTTTAGCTTTTAGCTACAGTTTGGCAAATTTTAGCTCCTGTTCTGCTTGTTTAAACTGTAAAGTTTTAGTTTCAGCATTTTAAACAATTTTCAGCACCCGGTGTTCACGAAGGTGAACCTTGTCATTGTGAGGCGACAGCTCTAACCACTGCACCACCAACCCAATCAGTTCCAGTTAACAAACCTGTTGAAGAACTGATGAAAAACACGTACCAGTTTCTTCATGGTTTTCAGTCTCTCCGATGCGCTTTCCATCCGATTGGCGTCGATAAAATCGTTGTACTTGTCTGATCAGATGTGGGAGGGTTCAAACGTGAGGCAGGTTGATTTGATTTGAACGTTACGACGAGTGCGGCGGCTTGTCGGAACATGTTTGGACTCACCGTTGGTGAAAAGAGGCTCCGGGAGATTCCTGAAGAAGGATTTGAGCAAACTGCTAACAACGTTGAGGTCCTGCCACTTCTAAAAACAAACAAACACACAAATCACTTTTATTTATTCGCTGTACCTTAGAATCCAGTTTTAGCTGATGACAGCCTGCAGGAGAGGGCGGTTACTTAATTACCAAATAATTACGAGCTCAATAAATTCTGCATAATGTTATTTTCAAAGTTTGACCAATTCTTACAAACGCTGCTTCAGTTTAAAACTCTGGCGTGAAAGACGGTGGGCGATATGCATTCCTTCAAGGAATGCTGACTCAAGTCTCAGCGGTGACTTAGTTTTAATCTGCAACCTTGTCTTACGCAACAAAACTTTTAGGTGTAGCTAAATTTAGCCTTTAGCTACAGCTTTGCTATTTTCAGCTAATAGCTACAGCAATTGATTTTTTCTTCTTTCGGCTGCTCCCTTCTTCAGGGGTCACCACAGCAAACGATCTCGCGTGAAGACTTGGCGATTGTTTTTACGCCGGATGTCCTTCCTGACGCAACCACAGACACCGAGCTGCCACATCCCTCTGTGTGGAGCAGAGAGCTGCTGTCTAGGGCGCCCGGGGGAGCAGGTGGTGGGGGTGAAGGGCCTTGCTCAAGGGCCCAGAGTGGGCAAATGAGGGTGGATGCAGGTGTGGGAGCTTCACCTTTCCCACCCACATTTTAATGTTGTCGGTATGGGGAGTCAAACTGGCGACCTTCTGATCACAGGCCCACCTTCTCTAACCTCTGCGCCACCACTCCCCCTCCCAGCTACAGCAACTTTTGTTTTGTTAAATTTAGCAAAGTTTTAGCCAATTTCAACCAATTTTTGACAATTTAAGCTTTTAGCAATGTTGTCTCAAAACTTAGCTTTTAACGGTAGTTTTGCTACATGCAGCTTTTAGCTACTGTTTTGATCATTTTAGTTAGACTTTAGTTAATTTAAGCGTTTAACTAATCTTTTGACCAATTTTAGCTTTTGGTTACATTTTTGCTAGTTTTACATTTAGCTATGAGTTTGCACATCTTATGCTAAAATTTTACAAAAGTTAGCTCTTTTTTTTTGCCAATTTGTTTTTAGCAACGGTTTCTAAAGCTTAGCTTTTACTTATAGTTTAGCTAGATGCAGCTTTTAGCTACTGTTTGGATAATTTTAGCTACACTTTTGCAAATTAGAGCTTTTAACAAATTTTTGGACAATATTAGCTTTGTGTTACAGTCTTGCTGGTTTTAGCTAGTTTAGTTGGTTTTAGCTATAGTTTAGCAGGTTATAGCTATAGTTTAGCTGACTTTAG